TTCACTATCTCGTACTACTAGTTTATAGACTAAGTAGGATAACCGCGACACTCAAACTGAAATGTTCCGGCAGGAGTCGGAAAACCTCGTCCGTTTTTCTTTATTCTTTCCATAATAATAATAATCTCGGAAATAAGAATCAGTGGCGTTTCTTAAACGCAGATAAATTTAAGTCCAAAACTTAGAAGGGCTTACACTCATCTGAATAGATTTAATAACTTTTTTTGTTAGATTACACTGTACTGATGATCTCCTCAAGAAATGATATAATCGATTCTGTATTATCCTTTTACTGGCCCGGTGTTCGTTAATTAATAAGCTGTTCGTCGTGTTTTTCGATTCTGCCTCTTTTAAAGCAAGCATTAACTAGGTAGACAATGATATAAGGCTCAGAAAGAAACTTAACTGAATATGAAAGAAAGCAAAGGCTGAGGAAAGGAAAGACTCAAGCGACAGTGCAAAGTTCTCACTATAAAAACAGTCCTATAGGGTTACACACAACATCACAACATAACATTACCTTTATCTAAACATACTATTGAAAATCATACCCGACGTATCCTTATCTTTAAACTCACTCACTCATCTTTACCGTCTTCAAACTCAAGTCCATGTTCTGACTTCCACCTAACTTCGGAATTCCGCATTTTCACTTCCCATCTTCTCTACTTGCTGCATTGCTGTATATAAATGTGACTGTAAGTTAAAGCAGGGATACCATTAAGCAGTTATTTTGTTTTCAAATCAAGCGACTGAACCCCTCCGGCAACTACAGAATATATGTAGCTATATATAAGTTAACATGCGAGACCGCAGTTTCGAATCCTACATATTGCAGGTTAGCAACCACCCAAAATGCGAAGAGTCATCTACTTTTTTTGAGAGAACGTATAGCATGAAATATGTATCCATGTTGTGACTAAAAGTTCTTCTCTTACTCTGAGTCAGGCGTAGTATAAGATTTGCGATACCGCTTACACAAAGATCAGAAGATTGTATCAGGTGGTCAGTCGCTTAGAAGAGCCGTGTTAAAAGCAATTTAAATTTCTAAAACCGTCAACCTTAAAAATGGTTGCGGTCGCTCACTAGAGGTGGCCGTTTATGAGAGGTTCCAACTATAAGGCTTTGACTGGGAAAATTTTGGTGTTTTGGATTGGTGGTCGCTTATAGGAGGTGGAGGCTTACGACGCGGGAGGTGGTCGCACATAGAGGTGCGACTGTATTCTCATCAATTGCTATATAATGGGATGGCTGAGGCATGACTTCTGAGTCAATCCCTGGTCCCGTTAGCTTGTTCGAAAATGGTGCATTTTGATTGGTCCTTGCAATAAGCACGCACTCGAGCAGCGGAAATCGAGCCTATTGTGAAGTAGGAACTTGGAAGCCGGAAGTCGGAAGTCGGAAGATTGAAGTCAGGAGTCGGAAATTGAAAATCGAGAGTTGGAAGTAGGAAATCGCAAATCGAAAGTCGGACGTTGAAAGTTTGAAGTCGGGAAGCTCCTCCTCGGCTGTCGTGGTCATGAGTTACCTAGCTTTCGATACTTCTTTTGGGGGTGCCTTGTTGTTAGTCAGGTAATGGCAAAGATAAAAAAAACCTCACCAAAATTTTGCAAAATCCGTTTAAGAAACGAATACTCAAAATTGCTGCCTGGGAGGTTTCATTTGAACGGTAACACGAACATATATAAAGTAGAGTTTAGAGTCCAGTCCAGAGTCCAGGTTCCAGTCCTGCTGTTAGCCTATGCCCCGGATTAAAAGTTAGAGAAATGGATAATGCGACCCAGGAGGTGTTTAAATTGACTCTAATTACCTTTTACAAAACAAGCTCTGCGTGATACCCATTAGCATGATTAGCTTGCAATTCAATGAACATCTGCCAAACGATAGCCTAAGGGCAACTTCTGAGTTTGAAACACCTTTCTGGATTATTCTGTGCTCTCGAAGAAAACACGAATTTTCTGTATTCAGAACAGGCGTCAACTGTTGACTCAGGAACAGTAAAAGGGAAATTAGACTGACNAAAAAAAACCTCACCAAAATTTTGCAAAATCCGTTTAAGAAACGAATACTCAAAATTGCTGCCTGGGAGGTTTCATTTGAACGGTAACACGAACATATATAAAGTAGAGTTTAGAGTCCAGTCCAGAGTCCAGGTTCCAGTCCTGCTGTTAGCCTATGCCCCGGATTAAAAGTTAGAGAAATGGATAATGCGACCCAGGAGGTGTTTAAATTGACTCTAATTACCTTTTACAAAACAAGCTCTGCGTGATACCCATTAGCATGATTAGCTTGCAATTCAATGAACATCTGCCAAACGATAGCCTAAGGGCAACTTCTGAGTTTGAAACACCTTTCTGGATTATTCTGTGCTCTCGAAAAAAACACGAATTTTCTGTATTCAGAACAGGCGTCAACTGTTGACTCAGGAACAGTAAAAGGGAAATTAGACTGACAGAAGTCGTCGTTCGTACAGACGACATTTTGCCTCGTGTTTTGGAGAATGACGTGTTTAAAAGCGTAGAAAACTCTTCGCATTTAAATGCAGAGACACATAGTTCAATACTTGTCGATCAAACAAATGTTTCAGCTCTCGTTGCTCATTCAAACAAGTTGCAACTTGTTAAACTAAATCAAGGATAGAGCTCGCCTAAACTCTCATTCAGCAAAGCTGAACTAGTAAATGCTATTTGACAAATTCAGGGATAGCTTTCTCGCTTTCTTTCAGTGTAAGGAAATATAGTAGAACTTTTTTTTTTTGTTCCAGTGGTAATTTTTTTTTATCGGATGCCTAGTTTTCTTCGTGTGCTTTTAGTCGTTTATCGTCACTGGGGACGCCGGGTACGCCAATTTCGTTGTTGTTTTAAGAGTCTTTTAACAACTGAAAATCGGCAGCGACGCATGACGTCAATATTCCGTTTTATTCGTAACATCCTGCTCCCTGGAGAAGAATTTCTGGAATATATTTAGCATTTGTTCCGGAATTGGAGTAGCAATACGTCAATCGAACTGTTTTTTTGTGCGTTCCTTTTCCAAGAGTACTCGGGTCAATCGTTGAACTCCCGCACTCGAAGTCATTTGAAGTTCACAAGTAATAAGTGAAACTCAACCGTGAACGAGAAGCATAGGCGGGAAAAAAAGCCATCAGTAGTGTTAACGGATAACTAATTATGGTAAGTTATTAAAATACAGCGTTTTCATCTTGGGCCCTTATATTGAGATAAAATTTTCAAAGTGTAAAATAAATTATTGGTGAAAAAAACTCATATTTTTAGTCATGGGAACAAAAAACCATGTTGTATAAGAGGAAATTTTTGAGAACTAGAAGGTTTTTAAAGCTTTTTCCGTATTGTTAAAAGTTGGACTCGAAATGATGATGGTCGATCGTCGAAGCCCGGTTTTATATCATCAAAAATTGCGTTTATTTCTTATTAGCTTTATCACAAACTTCTCGACGGACTTCGTTTATTAGAGACGAGTATTTTCTCCGATCGAGTCAAAACAAGTGCAGAATGTTTTGATTCCGAATGTAATTCTTCTAAATACTAAAAAGTGATGTTTTTTATAGGCATTGTGGCTAACGGTAATTAAGGGTTGGAGGCTGATATGGGTACTTTACCCAAGCCATTAAAACACAAATACTGTACGAAGCGTACCCAGCTGAGTGTAGATAAGGAATTTCGAGAACATTCTAAGATTCTAGCTATAGCCTGAGCAGCTGCGGCTTTTTTTTCAGGCAAACTAAGAACAACAAGACTCTAGTTCTTTTTAACATTAAAACCGTGTGTTCCTTTGCTTTTGAAAATAAGCTACGAATAACATTGGCGGTAACAGCAAAAATTGAAAAGATATTTTATGCCCTAGGGCGCTGTAAAGAAATCAAATTGGAATATTTTTTCAGGATAAGTGAATGTAAGGTTAAAGTAACTATGAAAAATTCTTAAAATGGTCGCTGAGGATACTCTGACTACTGAAACTAGTCGCACCGATCAAACAACCAGCTTTCACGAGAATTTCGCACAAAGCACGAAACAATAGAACTGATTATATATCATTAAGAAAGTGTAATTCTTCTCCAATTATGAATGCATTGTTAAATACATATTAAGATGAACAAAATTCACCTTTAATTTCCTCTTTGACCGGCAAATTTTCTGAGAAATGTATGATTTTGATGATATTCTTTCTTTTTAATTGATCCAATGAAGCCCCTGCAAGCGGTCAGACTTTCAAGTCTTCTCGGATAAGGATGATAAACCGTAGGCCCCGCCTCATAACCCTTGCACAAATACATTCTTTGGGACGAAAGAACCGGGCACTGTCTGTTCGTTATTTAAGAGTGGGGGACGTGTTCCCCGGTTCGGTGCCTGGTGGTCTATCTACCTTGGAGGGTGGGACTGTTCGCTGTTGTGATGCAACCCTGTCAAGAATTGGCTAACCTAAGTAAACGTAACTGTAACTGAAGTGTATTTGACATTTGTTTCTCTGTTTATTGGTTGTTTTTGTATTTGTTGCTCCAGTTTGATATCCCAACTCAAGGGAAAAGACAGGCAGCCAGTAAAGCATCATGTATTTGGAAATACTTCCATTTAGCAAATGAATATTGATAAAAAAGGCATAAAAACTCAGATACTGATACGAGACCCGTAGAAACATTGAGCACTGAGCTACCTTGACTATAAACTAAATAGGTAATAATCCCAGGAATAAGGGTATAAAAAATGTAGGAAATACGAATGGCCAAGTTTCCCGAGAAAAAATATGATATGCCTTTGTTATTGTTCTAAAGAGGTGGAGGAGGAAAATCCTAGAAATCCTAGAAAATCTTAATCAGAATCAATATTTATATTTTTCATAGGCTTCTAATTTAACAGAGCAACAGATAGAAGGTAAGAGTCTTGACTTGACTTCAATGTCCCAAACTGAAATAAACTATATCAAATACTAACATTATCTTGAAATATGAACACAATTGAGCGGGCAAAACCCTGTTGATATTTTTCATTTCAGACTTCCGAAAAGCATTTCAACTTTTTGACAAAGATGGCAACGGAAAAATAACCGCCGACGAACTTTTCGACGTCATGCGATCTTTGGGTCAGAAACCAAGCGACCGTGAAGTGGAGGCCATGATTCAACAAGCTGATCAAGATGGTAACTAGTCAGACTTAGACACGTTTACACTCAGGAGAGGGGGCGGGGGGGATTCCGGTGCGGGGTCAATCGTCGTTTTGGGGGTTAAAATTGGAGGCCTTTAGATTCTGAGAAGGGGAGAATACGAGAACGATATTTTCGAGGGGTAGCTGGCAGCAAGGTCTGGAACCGAGTTTACATGATCAATGTTCACTGGTCTCGTTCTTAGCGTAGTAAACCGCAAAGGACAAAAGCACGACCAGAAGAAAGAGAAACGTAAGCTCCACATTACCGCGAAAAAAAAATTGGTTACAGCAAAGAAAGCAACGACCAACAGGACCAAAAGCGAATTCCTTTCACAGTGTCGAATCGCTGCGAAGACAAACTTCTTGTTCCCAGCACGTTTCGAGCATGCTCGCTACAGTTCTCGAATGATTGACAGATTTTTAACTGGGGCGATCATGGAAACCGAAAAGCGGCAAGATCAAAGGCCGTTGCCAGCCACCGCTTGATCCATCTTGATTTTGGCGGGAAAACGTGATAGCCGTCGTCATCTGATTCTACAAGTTATCAAATGTTACAAGTTTCATCATTTTGCGATTGGGAGCGAAGCTAGGTCAACCTACTTCACTTCCGGTGGAAAAAAGTACAGTGATGTTTTCCGGTATGTGTATTTTTGGAGGATACGCAAAAAAAAAAACAACAACAACAACAACAATTAAAGTCAATCTCGTTCTCCTACTCGTACTCGTCCTCGAATCTACAGCTAAATCTAAAGGTCTGTGCTCTAGTGGATTTTTATCACTTATTGAACACTATTCTAACTGCAATCACTGCGGAAACAACTGCGCCCAGCTAAAGCTAAACCTGCACACTAACGAGCATTAGAATATTTTTCCAGAAACCCCTTAGTCCTAAAACAGTTGTGGAAATTATGTGAAAAAGATTACCTAAACCTGTTGTGCAGTGACAACGTTTACGGGATCTTTTATTGTAAAACTGTTTAACTTGTTTTGTCATTTTGTTTTTGTTTTTTGCGCTTCTTTGTTTGTTTGTTTGTTTGTTGTTAACGCTTGTTAATGCTTGTTTTGATTAGGCGATGGGACGATCGATTTTTTAGAGTTCCTAGAAGTTATGGCGAGCAGGATGGGTGAAAACTCGTTTGAAGATGACATGCGAGAGGCTTTTCAAATGTTTGACCGAGACTGTAATGGGTATATATCCAAGAGAGAGTTAAAGTTCGTCATGATCAGCCTTGGTGAACAGATTACTGAGGCTGCGGTAGAGAACATGATGAAAGAAGTCGACTTGGATGGTGATGGCAGAGTAAACTATGAAGGCGAGTAGTGACGACCTTTATTATAATTTTTTACGCTTGAATTGTTTTTGCGGGTGTGAGAGTTTTGGAGGGGAAGCTTAAAGGGTGAGAAAGGCTTCGCAGCTCTACTGCCAAACCGTTCCTCGCACGAACGATTCCGCGGGCTATGCAAGCTAAAATTAAATTGTCATGACAAGTAAAACAACATCTCTAACGTTAACTAAACGGCGTCATTCCGTGGGCTAATCCAACGAAACACTGAAAAAATCACTCATTTTCAGACTGCTTAATCAAAATCGTTCCCCGCGTAACTCGTTTGATGCAAAATAGTCCGAAATTGACGTCCACAATTCATACTATTTGGTGTACTGAAGTGCTGGGAACATCGGCATACTTTCAAATGAAGATTTTTTTTAATCTTAAAAAAAACAAAAGGTTTATTACAGCTCACAGTGACAATGAAGAGTCCACATTAGCGAGGTTGACTCTCCATGAAAATCTGTTGATTTGGCAAGAAACAAGTGCCGCATTAAGCGGGTTGAATTTAGAGAAAATATAAGGGCATTGGCCAGGGACACAGAAAACTGTCCTTGATAATGAGGTGCCCGTAAAGCGGGGGTCGTCTGTATATCATTATCAGGACTATCATCATCATTATCATCACCACCATCATCATCATCATCATTTTCTTTTGATTTTATTATTTATCTTTGCAGAGTTCATAAGGATGATGAAGAAGTAAACATACAAAATCATATTTGATTTGCACGGAACACATTCTCTTTAAGGAAAAGCATTTCTATTGCAGAATAATTTTAACCCAACACTCTTTTTGGTTTGTAAATAGACCTTGTAAATATTTGTCGCTATAAACTGGTAAAAGAAAGCTCGTTCGTACATGGTTGTTCAATTCAGAGAGACGCTGAAGTTACCCACAGTGTGACCTGTTAAAGTTGTTTGTTGTTGTTCAAGTGTTGTAGTTTTTTTTGTTAGTTGTATTTTCACGTACAACATGTTATATGAAATATTTTATTAGGCCCATTTCGATTTACGTGTAATTTAATCGCAAGAGCTTCGTATAGCTCTAAATTTGAAATAAAACCCTATTTCTTCTATTAAAGCTAATTAATTTGTTATTGATGGAGTTTCGCTTTTAAAGAGCATCAGATGATGAACTCAGGTGATGAAACCGGGGGTATTTACCATTTACGAGGAAAATCCGGAAATTCGGTTTGGAATTGGTTAAGCTATCTATGATTTGTGGCGATGCAATCAGTTCTCTATCATTTTTAGTCTTTCCTGCAGAATGCTTTATTAAAGTATACTTTGTAGCGGGTTTTCTACCGGGGAGGGGGAGGGGGGGGGGGG